GGGGGATGGCGGTGGGAAATGAGGCGGCACCGGAGCTGACGGGGGATGGGGAGGGGGAGGGGGGCGGTTCGGGCCAACCCGAGCACGGGCAGGTCGGTCCGGGTGATGGTCTGACCAGCGGGCACAACAGCGAACCAAGAGAAAACGGGTGTGACAGAGGAAAGTCTTGGTAGTTGGGCAGAAAGAGGGATCGCACCTGCAGCTGCAGGTTGGTGGCGTCGTTCTAGGTTGTTGCCTGAGGCTGCTTTAACCCAGTGATTCATTTACCTAGTGAGAGACTGGTTAGTGTGCTGTGGTGGCTGCATCGCTGCTGAGGCACCACGACTTGTTTCCAGTGCGGACTTCACTTTGGTTTTTGTATTCCAGTGACGTGTAAAGGTTGAGTTCTGTGTACTTAAGCACAGGAATAGAACTCCCTTTCATCTTGCTTTGCACGCATCCCTTGTGTGCCCCACGAATGTTAATCCCCAGTTTTTGAAACAAAACTGAATTTTCACAAGTTGTGAAGTCAGTGGCATGTGAAACAGTGCTTTTTATTTAAAAAAACTATGCCAAGCCATGAGGCAGTCAAGGCATATTCTTAGGAGTTTTTCCTTCCTCTAAACAGCTTTGCAGTGAGCAAGGCCTGATGAAATACAAAATTTAACACAATCCTCTAAATAGGTTCTTGAAAGCTTTAAAAAAACCAACAAATATCACCCAGTATCAAAAACTAATACCCGAAAGGCTCCTGCACTATATAGGTTGTTTGGGTTAGGTAGATTCCATTCTGATCATTAGGACGAGGTGAAGGATTATCTTCAGAGAACCCAAGTGTTCTGTGTTAAATCAAGATAATCAATCTTCTGTTGAGAGGGTTATTCCCTTTCTTCTTTTCCCTCATACTGTGGGGCAATGTGCTGACTGGTAAAGCCATGTTAGCTGTTTTGAAGCACACAACCACTTGTTAGAATACCATGGAAGTATTATTGTGGCAGAGCTCCATCAGTGGACTGAAGTGTATCTATCCCATCTGAGGCTAATGAGGAGGAGGTGTGTCTTTAGAAATATTTTTACATATGTACCAACTGATATCATCACACTTTGTTTCAAGCCTGAAGGGCCTGGGGGATGTTTGGCATCTCAAAGTTGGGATAGAAATTGAAGACTTAGATGCCAGGTTCTTTTTTGGTCTTAATTTGTTTGATCACTGCATCTAAATTAAGATTTTTGGTGACTGAGGGCCAGTGATGGGTGGAGGTGTTAATAAAAGGTTGGAACACTTGGCAGTAGGTTGGCAAGAGCATAGATAGATAAAATTAAAGCAAACAGGAGGTTTATGGCTTATTTTTCTCCCTCTCTAGACATAAAAAAAGCAGATTGAGCAGTCTGCAATGTCCCAGCTGCAATGATTTAGCCCACAAAAATGTGCCTTTCTGCTGTTCTGCTAGTACTGGGTGATTTTTTCTGACTTACAGAAAATATTTCTGAATCTTCACACTGTCATGTTAAATATGTAACTTGAAAAGGGAGAAGGAAATTACAGCTGTAGTAGAAAATCAATCCATACTGTTTTGAATTTGCCAAAATGCTGTTTAAATCTCTGGCTGTGCAAAGAGCACAGGCATTTAAACTGGTTATAGTGTTTCATCCCCAGAAGGAATTGAACTGGTAAGAATAATAGTGGACATCAGGGGTCAGCAGTGCATCCAAGGTGGTGTGCTAGCCTTTATTTTAACTTTCCCCAAAATAGGTTAATTTGCCAGCAAAAGCTCTACAGAAACTAGACCTACCTAAAAGTTTTTTTTTTTCCTGTGGCTGATCAGTGGGAAGATACTACCTTGCCTTCATCTGAGGCAGGGGTTTCTAGCTTCTACATGGCTCCCACCTTTATGGGATCCAGGACCAGGAACATTTGCATTTCAGGAATGCTGTGGTTCCCAGCCCCAGTCCCTGGCCAGCCTTGTGCAACATCCAAAATATATCTGCTGCCTTTGGCTCTTATCCCATGGGGTTACTATTCCAAAACTGACAATTTTTCCTTACCATCACATTTTTAAAAGGAGTTCCTTAACTTTGATGAGACATGCCATCTTATTGACTTCATAGGAAGAAGTGTGAGAAAAATCAGCAAATTTTACCAAATAAGTTTTCTACCTGCATCTCCTCTGATCCTGAGGCACTTTGGCACTCCCTGAACTTTGTAAGTGGAGTCTATCCAGCATTTAGTTTCTCCCAACACGACATAGGGGAAAAGATGCAACCCCACTCCCCTGCTCTCATTTAAGGTTGATTATTCCTAGATGTAGTGAGAAGGACAGGCTTTCCCATGGTCCTACATTATTAAAGATGGCGATGTCCACAGGAGTCTTCTTAGCCGAGTGACCTTTGAGTGTCATGGCTGCTTTTCAGGGTTGGGTCCCCCTGAAGTTAGCCCTGAGCAAGCTGCACCCCAGTGAAAGTCTCTGAATTTGTCTCCTGTGGAACTGCTCCTCAGTGCTGCTGCGAAGTAAATTCTCTGGCATTCAGGGGATAGACACCCTCCAGGAGAACCAGAGGCTCTCTGCTCACCACCAGGGGGGATCAGTCCTCCAGCTAGGAAATGAGGCAAAGACTTTCTAACCCCTCCTTCATTACGTATCAACATAGTCAGTATCTTTAAGGCTCCCAAGTGCTGATTTACTGTCTGTATGTTTCACGTTTTTACACTTTAACTTTCCTTACAGGCCTGTTGTGTTCATAAGTTACTTTAAGTTTGGAAAACACAAGAACAAGTTGTCTTGTAGAATTTTCAAACACACACATTTTAGTAAGAAGCACTTAACCTGGTGGTTATAGGGCAATTGCCAGTTTTTACCAATAAATCTTACTTGTTCAAACACAGAATCTGTTACTCCTTTAATCAGACTTTTAGAACCTCTAATTCATTGCTGTAAGTGAAAATGTATGAATAGCTGAAGACTGTACATATACAAAGAATGAAAGCTCAGTATAATTTGTTTAATCTTCTTGGTGCAAAGGGATTTTTCAGAGCATTGGTGTTTGTTTAAGTGAACACCTGTTGAAAAATCAAGAACATATAGTCCTAAATAAGTAGATACATTTGTATGTTCAGTGATGGAAGCTTTAGCTTGTGTTTTGAGATTCAGTCCCTATTTTGAATGGGTTTACCTCTCTGGGTAGCCATGCAACTGAATCTAGGGTCACAAAGTACCTCAAGTGGAACACATCATACAACACCACTTTTATTGAGCCAGATGTAAGCTGAAGAGCTACAGTCAGAGAAAGAGTCTATATCTCAATACTTCCCTCCAGCAGGAACTTCCTTACCCTTCTGAATCTTTTCCTATTTCTTCCCAAACCCACAGTGTGATGATGGTGATGTTGTCTGGCATGATCAATAGGTACAAGTAGAATGTACTGTACAAGAAAAAAAAAAAAAAAAAAAAAAAGCTGCAGGAAGTGAAGAATGTTGTAT